TCTTTAAATTCAGGAATGGATTTACAACCGTATAAAATTATTTTATTGTTTGATGAATCAGGAATACCATTAATAACATAATCAATCAAAGAAGAATCATCCATAGAACCTTTGTATGCGAGGTCTCTCATAGCTAAAAATATTCTTGTAAGGTTTCAGATGTTTTCATGTGACGAGATTCCATTATTTTTATGTAATTGAAGGCTATAAATGTTTTCCGAAAATTCATCTAATAAATGGTGTTTTAATTGTTCCCAATTAGTAATTCCACGAATTGATCTTATTAATGTTAAAGCTGGACCTGTAAGACATTTTTTAACAAAAATTACTTGGTGTACAGGATTCGTGATTTCATAGAGATTAAAAATATCTTCTATGTCAGAAATAAAAGTTTCAACGCTGTAATTATCCCGAGAGGAAAAGGGTTTGATCAAATCAACAATGTCTTTTAAGCCAAAACATTGAAACGGAACAGTCTGTGTTTGCGGGTTAGTTGATACCAATAAATTTGCAGGCGCACTTTCAAGAGAGATTTTTGCCTCCATTTGTTTACATAAAGATTCATCTGGAGTGTGATTAATGGCTGTTTGGGCGACGCTATGCGTCGAGGGTGAACTTTGCACCCAAGCTTCTTCTTCAAGGTCGCTGTAGTCAGCGGAATCTGATTTTAATAATGAGACATCAGCTAGATTCGTAAGAATATTGTTAGCACAGTTTTCAATATCGGTGGAAAATTCTAAATGCAGTACGCTACATATGGCAATTAAATCTGTGAGAGAAAATTCTTTGATAACTTTTTGTTTCGTACCTTCAAAGTTAAATGGTTTGGGAAAACCGGAAAAATTGCGTAACCTAGCACAATTCTGCCGATCACCATCTGAGCCAAAAACTAAACGATGTAAAAGCTTGATATGTTTGGTACTGGCAGTGTTTAATGACTGTGCAATGTTGGGATAATCGTTAAGTGTAGCCATTATTTATCAGTTTTGTTTTAACCAAATATGAAATTCCACAAAATATGTATGTTTCGATTTCATCAAATATTATTTATCTGGTTTCAGAAATTATCACAACAAAATATGTTAATTTTTCTTATTATTCACAATAATATTAATTCTTCTTAGTATATTACACAATAACTATGATGTTAAAACACTCAAAAATCATAAATGAAATTGTGAACATATGATTCAAACAAATGGTAAAATATATCGTCAAACAAATCTTCATATAAGACTATGTTAAGAATGGAAAATAGAATTTCACGTTAAGATATGATATAAAAATTAATAACTTCAAATAATATTGTACAGTCCTTGGAAAATATAGGCATCACAAGAAATAAGAAATTTATGCACCAAATTCGAAAACGAAAGTAATTCTTCAAAGTAACTTTTTTAATACATCACAATTCTTTAAATAGTCGGCAATGGATTTTCATCAAAGTCAAATACCTTTAGTTTATTCAATTAAACTTCATCAACACTGTTTAATTAATTATCATCAACATCAAATTCGAAAACGGAAGTGTTAATTCTTCAAAGTAATAATCATTTAAAAACAAAATGAATTTTCATCAAAATCAAATGCCTTTCGCTTCTTCAAATCAACTTCATAAAGAGGCGTCATCAAATATTCATAATAACTTGAAAGAATATTACTTCCTCATTAGTATTACTTCATTAAATAAAATTAGCTCTACTTACGTGCTGACGAATCACAACAAATGGAATCTTGCGATATTATTCCACAGTAGTCCATCATTTGTAGTTATACTCGGTATATTATATGGTAGTCTAGGGGATTTAAAAGTTGAAGGGAAGAACAGATTTTAGTTCAAGGGGTCGAAAGAGTTCGCGTGGCCGAGCCCCCATGTGGGATGAGGTTAGGATTAAAATAGAGGAAGGCAGTGGCATTTTAAAGGTATTTAATAATAAAAGAATAAACATGATTATGGTATGTACAGAGTGAAAGGAAGTAAGATAAAAAGTTCTATTCATCATGAAACGGAATTATATCATCAAGTAACATCGTTGAGCAGCATAGTTCAGTTACATCCAATGCCAAGTCATAACCCCATCGGAATGCAAGTCTGTCCATTTTCTCACGCAGCTAGAAGAAGTATCTCGCTACTGTCGCTGTTGCCGGATTTAGGAAAAGGCGGTGTTGTAGGAGCGAATGTCCACATACAAATGTATTAAAAACTGTACTGTAACACTTTCATAATATTAAAATTATAACATTAAGCTTCCAAAATTTCCAAAATAGGAAATATTGGATAAAGATTCTAAAATTTTAATAGAAGGGAATGTTAGAATCACCATTTTTAATAAATAAAATAACTGGAAAAAAATTAGAAAAGATAACTGCATTCGAAAAATGCAACAGTGGCGTTCATAGCATGGAATTCTCTTCGTGTATCATTCGCCATTCATTTTTCTTGCATTCGTTTAAGTCGTGACAGTAAAAATGTAGTTCATGGAGCATATACACAATTTATATACAAACGCCTATGCTCTCTATACAACCAGCGGCTGTTATTCGGTGTGTTTCTTTTACTTCTACCAGTGGCTGACATGGCGCATTTCTATTCCAAGCAACACTGTATCGCGCTAAGAACTGTACAACTGACACACAAACTAGTAACGAAACTCTTAATCCATCATCTTTAATGCCTAAACGTTTTGCCAATGGATTATCATTTCTTTGGTACTTGGAAAATGTTTCCCGAAAGAACCAGTGAATTATCCTTCTATCAAGATACAATGTTTTATCTACCTGTCAGGTATCCACCTTCAGAAGTTCCATCATTTTCAGCGACACGGAAATTTTCAAACATATCATAAACAGCTAGGCACCTACTAATAGCAAAGTATTGATGCTGTAGGGTAATTACTTTGATTAAATAAGTCTTTTTGTTTCCTTTTCTGCAAGTATTCATTTTTTATTTAATTAATTATTTTACTTATCTATTTTTGACTGCATTTGTGAGCGTTTGTAAATTCTGCCATTTCATTTCCAGTGATCCGATAAATTAAAATTTTCAATGATGATTAGTAAAGAAATGGTATTATTAACGAAACTTTTAGTGAATAATTTTAGATCTCCATGAATATTAATTTGAAGAATAAATTCATGTCTAACTGTTAAACATTTATTAATGCCAAAAATTGCATTTTTGAAAATGTTAAACTTTTTGTGCATTTCATCACTGAATTTTTTTTAAATAAATGCGTTAATTTAAATTTCAGTGTGAAGAAACAGCTTCCTTAGAATACATTTTGAATGAACACAGACTTTTTGGATTATCTTTTGCTAAATTTTGATGCATTAAAATTTTGTGCCAATATTAAAGAACTTTGCTTCTGATGATATATAATTTTTGATTTGGTTTGGTTTGGTGTAATATAATTTTTGGTTTGGTTTGGTTTGGTTTATTGAGATTACGGCAAAGCACACTAGGGCTATCTGCCTAAGGGGAGGGATGCCTTCATGGAGGACTTTCTAAGGGAAACTAGCTCGTATACACGTTACACATGGGGAAAACCACGAAAACGCCCGTGCAGTCAGCCCGTTCGCGGGATTCGAACCTCGGACCGAGCTACCAGTGTTCAGCGACTTTACCGCTCGGCCGCTGGTGGGCTAATATAATTTTTGAGTTTTTTAATTATGAATTTTTATTACCAGTTTTGTCGTAATTTTATATTTTTCATTTTTAAATTATATTCTAAAGTACTATGATATGATATGATATGAGGGACTCAGTGCGAACCTCCTGGCAGACTTTACCTCGCCCTATGGTCTTTTTGCGGGCTGCGCCAGAGCAAGCTATAAAGTACTTGCATACCTTATAATGTACTATATACTTAGGCGGGGGAAATACCTTATAAAGTATTATATACTTTATAAGGTATTTCTCCCGCCTTCATAATACTTTATAAGGTATTTCTCCCGCCTTCTTAGCGAGCCTTCGTGGTGCAGTGGACTGCACGCTCAGCGCGTAATTGAGAAGTCCGCGGTTCGATTCCCGGCGAAGGCGTTGCATATTTTTCAATCTCTCTTGCTTTAAAAAATAACTTAATATCTCTACAGTGGCGCTCGAACTAAAAGGGTGTTGGATGATGGTTCTCCACAACCATTTAAAAGGGAGAGTATATAAAATATTTCTCCCATCTTCTCGGCATGCCTTCGTGTTGTGGTGGTGTGCACGCTGGGCACGTATTCCAGAGGTCCGCAGTTCGATTCCCGGCGAAGGCGTTGCTAATTTTTCGTCTCACCTGTTTCCAAAAATACCTAATGTCTCTACAACTTCAATCCTATATTTTCATTTTGTAATATAATTTTGTTATTTGTTATGCTCTGGGTTGTTAATGAATGTGGAAAAATAACCTAATGTCTCTACAGTGACTACAGTTACTTCTTTTGTAATTTATACAACTTTAAAAGAAGCAAGACGCGGAAATTAATCACCAAATTAGAAAGTCTGGCTTCGTTTATGAAGTCTACAGTCAATATCGAGCAGTATGCTGAAATAAAGTTACATGGACGATATCATTTTCCCAGCATCAAGAAAGGTGAAATCACTAGGTGTCAGTATAATGAGTTTCGAACAGCGGTGCTGTTTTCTTTCATTCATACTGAATTTTAACATAAACATGTTTAAGAATATAATTCTTTGGTGATAGATGCACATTCAAGAACAGAAAAGAAGTATCATGAACTTTAAAATCATTTACTAGTACTTAAATAATGTACCCATTCAACTCTGGATTTAATAGCCTCACATAAATTTTGATGCTGCTTTTATCCGTTCAGAACGCGTTATAGACTTTCATTTTGGTTACCTTGTGCTATTATTGTAATTCATAGATATGTAAATATGTATGCTCGTTTATATGTATTTAAACTGAACATTTTTAAGTATAGCACTTAGATACATGTATCCAAAACTGATTGAGTTTTCTTTATTTATTTTTCTTCCTACATTTTCATGCATATAGGTATGGCTACTCATGTTGTTGTCGTTACTGGTTTATCTGCTACTTTTCTACTTCACTGGAAGAGTCTACCAAACTATCTATTTAAGACAATCATATAGTATTGAGAGTTTATTTTGGTATCTGTATGGAACAATTTGTGCTGAAGGTAAGATATCTGCTCTGATTTAAAACTGAACACAGAATTTAATTGTATTTCTGGGTAACCAGAAAGGTTACATTATCATCGCATGCTGATTTCTCAGTGTTGAAATTTTTGATGGAATATTTTACATTATCAAAACCTATATTAAGGCATCTTATGCAATATATAATGGTTGTAACAGTTGGAAAGTTATTTTTTAAATTTGCTTATTTCATGTCTCATTAGGGTAAATATTCTAATACGATAACTATATAGCACTTCTCTAACGTAAGTATTACGACTCAATATAAGTATTTTCTTTTTAAATTACATGCCGATTTTTTCCATTATTTGGATTTTATTTGTAAAATAATGCCTGTGAAATTTTGGAAAAATTGCACGAACAGGTTTTTCGAAAGTTAACAATCAAAATTTAATTTCTTAGTTGACTCAGTTGCTTAATCTTTGATAATATCTCTTTGTAATTTCATTTTGTCCTTTTCTTCTTGTATAATCTGAAATTTAAACTTAATAAAACATACGCAATTTTCTTCGTTTATTTTTTGTCTCTACTTAAAAATTTTAATTTGAAATTCATTTTATATATTTTTCTGGAAGCATTTTGAACTTTAACCTATAAAAATTTGCAAAAAGTCTTAAAGTAAACATTTTAGGCATATTTTCCAAACATTAGAAATAATTAATGAAAAATTGGGAAGTTATATGTAAATTTAAACATTAAAAATTTAGTTATGATTTCAAAATTAGCGGAGATCTGAAAGTGGTAATGATGCCAAATTTGGAAACTGTTTTGATTTGCCCAATTCAGCTTTTTTACACTGCCTTTTATTTTTCGTTTTATTACATTTTAAAGGAGATTTCAGGGAGTGACTTTGATTAGCGTAGCATTTCTTATAATTTAACTTAAAATAATGATAACCTAACAGTGTTTTTTACAAAATTAAAAGCATAATAAAAAATATAAGAAAGACGATAATTGTTTAAAGCTGAAAAATTTAAATAAATGTTTGTTTACATATCCGACGACATTTACCTACTTCTTACGATCAGGTGGTTTAAATATTCCTATTAAAATGAACAAATGTTTTAATTTTGCTTTATTTCACTTATATGAATTTTGATTTTATATAGTTGATGATTATGTCTTATTATAAGGTGGTTAGCAGTTACGTTACGCATGGACTCCTATTACTTTACACATGAGGCCCACATATATGTGACACATGGATAGCGCATGAAAATGTCCATTCAGACAGCCTACTTGCTGTGATTCAGATAACACAAAATGTAATTATATTTTCACTGAAGTTGGAGACAGCATGGCGTACACTGTTCCACTCTCCAGTATATAAAAACAAACCATTAAGTTAATCCTGATGTTCCAATTTCTGAGGCTCATAAAACGGGAGATGCAGAACTATACTTTTTCTCTACTTTATCTCAGGTAAACTAAATAAAATATTCTTAATCGCAAATCATAGGTTACAAGTATACTACGCTATTAAAATCCGCCACATTTAAAAATCAGTATTGAATGTGTGTTGGCAATAAATAATAAGCTCATTCAAAACTGAGTTCATTCTATTAAGCAACAAATAATGCATTTAAAATATAACAGTAGTATTAACCGAACGATGTTACAAGCCGCCGAGTTCGGTACAGTGATTATCGATGCTAGCTGCCGTATCGTTGGGCCCAGGTTTGAACCTAGGAGAATGTTTTAAAACATTCTCCTAGGTTCAAACCTGGTTCTTTAGGTTTGAACCTAGGAGGTTTCTCCTAGGTTTAAAACATTATGGTTTTAAAACATTATGGTATTTTTAATTTTTTAAACCATAATGTTTTAAAACATTATGGTGCTTTTATAGCATGGGAACACTTAAAATACACAGCCAGATAAAAGCCCTGTGAAGTAGTTTAGTGGTAGAAGAAGAGGAAAGGGAGACCCTTGTATCCTTTGCTCAGAGGGCTCTCCTTTAAAATCGGGTCCAAGTCGTATTGTCATCAATGTGGGGCCCAAAGCCCATCCCAACTACAGACATCATCCTACGCGTTTAGCAGTGATAAAATGTGTGGGCTTGTTCTGATTTTCAGACAAGTGAGATCAGTCACAACATTTTTTGATTTACAATAGTTGTAGAGTTATCTTATAGATTCATTAGCTTATACTGCAGCAGGAGGTGATAAAATTGTGCAATGCTCCCTGTGTGACTCGAACCTGGACCTCTCGAATACGCGCCGAGTGTGCTACCGTTACACCACGAAGGCATGCTGGAAGGAGGAAGGAAGTACCTTATGTTGGAAAATATGTTGGGGAGTCATATAATTTACAGTTTCCACTATTTGGTAATTATAAAATAGACTATCATATATTATAATATCATATATTAGTTTTCAGCTGACACGAATGATTAGAAACAAAGCAACGTGCATAAAATATTTAATTTCATTATAAACTGTATGTACTTCAAGCATACAGTTTATAATGAAATTAAATACATACAGTTTATAATTTCACTATAAACTGTATGTACCTCAAGCTTGTTCAGTAAATGCTTGGAACAGAAGCCTTTGTTACATTAATTGCAATGATAGAATCATTTCAACACATAGTTTTGTACTGAGTCATTAAGTATGTACAGGAATGGGACAAAGAGACTCAAATATGTAATAAAAGGGACACGTAAGATGGAAAATAATTTGTGTTTGAAAATATAGATTTACACAATTGTTTATAATTCTTGAGAGATATTTCAATTGTTAAATCAATCCGAAATCAATACGAAGCCACAGTTGTATTCTACATATTATTCTGCGCCGCTGTAAATTAATTTTGTGCGAAGGAGAGGCTTATAGAGTTTCAAGGAGAGCACATTTTAGAGTACGTCGAGAAGATGCTCTGCAAACAGAAGTAGCAGCAAAAACAAAGTAGCAGATTTATATAGTGTATTGCGAAGGACATTATCCTCAAATCATCCTTTTGATGAATATCACCCAATAAACACCAGCGTACATAACATCGTTCCTTGAATTTAAAAAAAAAAAAAAAAAAAAAAAAAAAAAAAAAAAAAAACCGCCTTTTGAGAAGTTTTAGGGCCAAAAATAAGAAATCAGCAGCTGCAAAAGTAACTGTTCAGCTAAAATAACATGCTTTCAAAATCTGTCAGTACAGAAACAGGGAGCTGTACTGACTGAACTGAACTACACTGAAAAAACTATACACAAACAGAGTGTTAATGTTCAAGCAGCATTTGCCAAACGAAGGGTTAATAAAACGAGGAGTGATTGGAGGAATATTCACAAAACTTGAATTTGCTGATCAAAGGACAACTGTTATCTGGTCTGAATGATATGACCTTACTATTATTTCCCTAATTAAGACACAATAACACGCCGAATAAATACTAATTCAGAAGTCAAACAACAAAAATCAGCGTTATATTTTCAAAATTTTCACAGAACTAGTTTCGATGGCTTTACCGAACCACCATCCTCAGCTGCAAAACCGCAAATGAACAACATAAGGAATAATGATTAGATAAGAAAGCCTGGACAAGAATAAGCAAGTGGCGCCATCTGTTGGTGAAACCAGAACTAAAACATAATTACTTTAAAGGCCGAAGGCAAAGAGGGATTGGAATTAGGATCGTTAACTAGAGCAGAAAGATTTTTATGAATGTGAAATGCCTATAGAAAATCCAGTTCTCCAATGGAAGATGTTTTTTGAATAATTTTGGCATCAGAAAAATTGAAAGTGTGATTTTCGGACCAACAAAGTTGAACAACTGAAGACTTCTGTGTTCCTTTTTTCTAACATATGCCTCATGTTCCTTGACGCGAAATTTTAAGGCTCTCCTAGTTTGGCCAATGTAAATCAAACCACACTGGCAAGGAATCCTATAAATACCCCAAGAATTCATATCCGGAATGGGGTCCTTGAGTATAGAAGTTGGAATTTTATTGATGGGAGAATAAACAACCCGAAAGTTAAATTTCTGCAAAATATGTGCAACTTTATAGCTAATTGATGGAAAGAAGGGAATGACAACAGAATTTTTATAATCTCCTAAAATAAGAGTGTGGCTTTTAGTGTGTTGAGATGAGAATTTTTTAACTGCTTGATTAATAATGTTGGGTGAAAAGCCCCTGTCAATAGCTATTGCTTTTAAATAATTTAGTTCTTCATCAAGGGCTAGTTTGGAGGAGCAAACTTGAAGAGCACGGAAAACATAGGAATAAAATGAAGCTAACTTTTGTTTAGTCGGATGACATGATTTAAAGTGTGGTGGAAGGCAAACCGATGAAGGTTTACGGTAAACTGTAGTACTGAAGTTGGATGTGTTACGTGTGACCAGAATGTCGAGAAACGGAAGAGAATTGCAAGTCTCAAGTTCAAAAGTGAACTGAATAGCAGGATCAATAGAATTCATTGTTGAAAGAACTTTATTTAAATCATCTTTATTACCTTCAAACAGGGTAAAAGTATCGTCTACGTAGCGGAACCATGCCGGGAAGTTTAAAGTTTCAAACAATTTTCGATTCATAATAATGCATGTAGATATCAGCCAGGATGGGACTGAGGGGGCTTCCCATGGCTAATCCCTCAGTTTGCTTGTAATATTTATTTTGGAAAACAAAATGTGTTTGTTTCAAACAGAAGTTGAGTTGAGAAAATTAGCTCATCAATTTCGATGCAAGAGAAATGAAATTCGCGAAGTCTGGTTTCTAGACATCTTAATGCACCCTCCACTGGGACATTGGTGTGAATAATGATTTTACATCAAAAGAAACCATGAGTAAATTACTAGGAGAAATGTTTTTTACCCTTTTTTTACAAACTCTATTGAATTTTTTATGGTGTAAATTTTATTGTCTAATAGAGTTGAAAATCTAGAAACTAAATATTTAGCTAAGGCATACGAGGCAGTACCTAAATTTGATACAATAGGGCGGAAAGGAATACCACTTTTAATAATGTGAAATTCAATAATAAACCTTTGAAACCAAAGCTAACTGCGAGAGAAAGAGCTACAATGCGGGAAATTCATTCTAACCCGGATATTATCATTTCAAAAGCCGACAAAGGTGGCTAGATAGTCGTCATGGATAAGAACACGTACATCAATGGTGTCACTAAACTCTTAAACGAAGGACCATATAATCAGATCCCTAAGGATCCTTCACCTTCGCACTTGTCAAAAATAAAAACTGCGATCAAATCTTCGCAAATCATTTCAAGCAACTTAAAACATTCGTTTATCCCATCTGTTGCGAATTGTGCCAGATTATATGCTCTTCCCACAATTCATAAAAGTGGTATTCCTTTCCGCCCTATTGTATCAAATTTAGGTACTGCCTCGTATCCCTTAGCTAAATATTTAAACTAGCCCTTGATGAAGAACTAAATTATAAAAGCAATAGCTATTGACAGGGGCTTTTCACACAACATTATTAATCAAGCAGTTAAAAAATTCTCATCTCAACACACTAAAAGGCACACTCTTGTTTTAGGAGATTATAAAAATTCTGTTGTCATTCCCTTCTTTCCATCATTTAGCTATAAAGTTGCACATATTTTGCAGAAATTTAACTTGTTGTTTATTCTCCCATCAATAAAATTCCGAGTTCCATACTCAAGGACCCCATTCCGGATATGAATTCTTGGGGTATTTATAGGATTCCTTGCCAGTGTGGTTTGATTTACATTGGCCAAACTAGGAGAGCTTTAAAATTTCGTGTCAAGGAACATGAGGCATATGTTAGAAAAAAGGAAAGACAGAAGTCTTCTGTTGCTTAACATTGTTGGTCCGAAAATCACACTTTCAATTTTTCTGCTGCCAAAATTATTCAAAAAACATCTTCCATTGGAGAACTGGATTTTCTACAGGCATTTCACATTCAAAAAAATCTTTCTGTTCTAGTTAACGATCCTAATTCCAATCCCTCTTTGCCTTCGGCCTTTAAAGTAATTATGTTTTAGTTCTGGTTTCACCAACAGATGGCGCCACTTGCTTATCCGTGTCCAGGCTTTCTTATCTTATCTAATCATTATTCCCTATCTTGTTCATTTGCGGTTTTGCAGCTGAGGATGGTGGTTCGGTAAAACCATCGAAAAACTAGTCCTGTGAAAATTTTGAAAATATAACGCTGATTTTTGTTGTTTGACTTCTGAATTAGTATTATTTCTCTGTTTGGTCTACTTCATTTAGAAGAAATTAACCTAAGTTTCAGGTCCGAATTTCTTGCGAACATTCGGTCATGATAGCCATATCAAAGTAAACTGCCAGTCCCATTAATACCCTGAAGATCATATTGCTTGCAAAAATTATATAACCATTTTGAGCAATCAAGTCCATCCATTCTATAATGCAAATATTATTTCTTACAGGATATGCCACAGATCGAAAAGATGAAGTTCTTGTTCGTGCATCTCATATCATCTAGTTATGGGTTTTGAAGCATGCTAATACAGTCTTAAACAAAAAAAAAAAAAAAAAAAAAAAAGACACACCAAGAAGGAGTTATCCGAATAGGACGAAAATAGGTATAAGTGATGTACATGTACAGAAAACAAAGATTACAGTTTGAGAAAAATTTGATGATTTAATTGAAGCACTAACGACAAAGCTTCACAAAGTGAAAAAGTCAGTAACGCGTTTGTCTACCTCTGGCCCTTATGCAAGCAGTTATTCGGCTTGGCATCGATTGATTGATGTTGCGGATGTCCTCCTGAGGGATATCGTGCCAACTTCTGTCCAACTGGCACGTTAGGTCGTCAACATCCCGAGCTGGTTGGAGCCATAATGCTTCAAACGTGCTCAATAGCAGAGAGATCCGGCGATTTTGCTGGCCCAAGGCAATGTTCGGCAAGCACTAAGGGAAGCAGTAGAAACATGTGCAGTGTGGAGGCGGGCATTATCTTACTGAAATATAAGCCCAAGGTGACGTCACATGAGAGGCAACACAACGGGCCTTAGAACTTCGTCGACATACCGCTGTGCTGTAAGATTGCGACGGATGACAACCAAAGGGGCCCTATTATGAAATGAAATGGCACCTCAGACCATCACTCCTGGTTGTCGGCCTGTCTGCCGGAAGACAGTCAGGTTAGTATCACACTGCTGTCCGGGGCGTTTCTAGACTCGCCTACGCTGGTCATCGGGGCTCAGTTCAAAGCGGGACTCATCACTGAAGATTCTTCTACTCCAGTCAGTGACATTCCAGTGCGAATGAGCCCGACACTATTGCAAACGGGCTTGACGTTGTACAGAGGTCAATGGTAGTCGGCGCAAGGGGCGCCGTGACCTCAGCCCCCTTTCTGTGAGCCGTCTATGAATAGTTCTTGCGGTCACTGAAGCGCTAGTTGCACGTACAATCGATGATAATGATGCATCTGGGGCTGTGAGTGCCGCTCTGACGATTGCTCGTTCTTCCCGTTCTGTCGTTTCTCTAGTCCTATCGCTTCCTTCTTGACGCTGTGTCCGGCCATGGTTCACCCATTCCTGCCAACATCGTCTAATAGTGGCATTACTCCTGCTCAAATGTCGAGCTATTCGCCGATAAGACCAACCGGCTTCTTTGGGTCCAACTACACGACCTCTCTCAAATTCTCACATCTGCGCATATCGTTCGAGCACCTGTATGCGAGGCATGGTTACTGTCTACCAGAGTACACGGAATGAAATTCGTGAAGAATTCATGACCTGGAATCGTAATTTCTCCTCTTAAATCGCCTACCAGTTGCACAGATCAGATGCGCTGTAGCGACAACCCTTCATTCATTGGCAGACAAAATGTAAAATTTTGCACCGTCGAAACCTGTATGCGTATCAATTTGTGTCCAATTTGCTTTATATCTTCTCGGTGCGTCGTGGTGCGTCTTTTTGTTGTTGTTGTTGTTGTTGTTGTTGTTGTTTTGTTGTTGTTGTTGTTGTTTTTGGTTGTTGTTGTTGTTTTTGGTTGTTGTTGTCTAAGAATGTAATTTTCAATGAGAAGGTAACTATTAATCAATAAGTTCATTCTCTTACCAAGTACTTCTAAAATAAGAGGGTTTTCGAAGTACCCAGGAAGTATGTTAGTATCTGAATATGTACTATACATATGATACATATGAATATTTCCTCATATTATTGTAGTATGGTTGAGGAAATTTGATTGTATATAATGAGCTAGAGTTAAAAAATATTGTATCACTGAAACAAATATATTTTATTATTCACTCATAAACAATTCGAAACTTATCTCTATAAAAGTTGAAGAAGAGAAGCAGTTTTGGAAGAACGCAAAAAACTAGCGAATCCCACTGCTGACACCGGTTTGTTGAGTTTTACGGGTTCGTGGATTTGGAGTGATTGATGGCAACATTTGATGAAGAATCAAAACACAATTTATTCGTCAGTATTAAACAGGTAAGTTCCAAAGTCGTCGAAAAACTACGACAATTACACTGAAACAATCAGTAACATAGCCTTCAGGCTATCAGGCTATAACGGTGAAGACAGCTTCACGGCAAAGCACTAAAGTACAGCTCTCGGCTCGGTCGATCACGATATACATAGCTACTCCACGGGGTATATATAGCTTTTGACCTGCCTTCGAGAACATTCTCACCTCTTCAATTCTACCTCGTATGGAGAGCTCTCATCTTCGGACTTCATCATATGTCAGGTCCAGTCGGGATTCTCTGAGGATAAGGATACTGGCAAGAGCAGAAACGAATTATCCTGCTGAATACCAGGGAAAACACCAAAGTATCAAAGTATCGTTAACATTCTCGGGAAAACCGGTAAGAATTCGTTCTAGAATGTTCTCGCTCTGTCTATGACATATCGCCAAACGTCGCCAGATGGGCAATTTCGTACCAAATCTGGCAACCCTGCCTTTCCTCGCTACTTTCTGGTAACCCAAAACCCGCTTTGCGGGGAAGCTAGCTGGGCATTTCGTCACAATATTTTGCATGCAATCTTATTACGTTTGTATGGATAATACAACAATGTATTATCCCTATGCCAGTGAAATAAAATCGATTTTAAAAATAAGTGCCTCCGTACACAAAATCTGCCCTTTTATTAACAAACAATTTATATTCATCTCAAATATTTTCTTAATTTTGTGTGAATAAATTCTAATAGTCATATTTGGAAGCATAAAAATAAAACAGTCGAGTAAAATTCCAGTCCTTAATATTGGTATGTAATAACAAAACGACGCACAACGCGTATAGTGTTTAGAGAAGCTGGCTGCTGTAAGAATGGGTCCGGGCTATGCTTTTATGCGAATGTAAAGTACCAGGCCTCATCGTGATGTACCCTAGTTAAAGTTAAATCGGCTACAACGATCGCCGCTCACCTCTTTCGCCTACTGACCAGAGGGTCAAAGGCTTGGCATTAATTTGCTTTGTTTTTATATAATAATAAAACGTTCTTGTCACATTTGATAGCATAAAATAAAAAAATTCGAGTAAAATTCCTATATAATAATAAAATATTCTTAACACAAACCAATATAGGTTTTTGGTATACAATGAAAATATTTATACGCATCAATGACCATTTCTTCGCAAACGTAAAAAAAAGTTCTTATGTTTATCTTAAATATGTAATTAAGTTGCTTGTATTTTACAGGCTAGACAGCTGTTATATCTTTTTAACCTGTAAATTAAATATAAGCAACTTAATTCCATTTTATTATTAACAAAGTTTTATTTAAAGATGATTGCATACGTTAATAAATTACTTCCCAGATTATACGAACAGTATTCAACTAGTTTTCTATTTCAAGTATAAATTATCTTAAAATGCTTTCCTTCCTGAGAATGTTTAGAAATGTAAAGGGAAGGTTACTCTTTTCCCTTACATTTTATATATGTAATATCCCCTTTAGAATGCGTTCCTTGTCAAAAGCATTATTCTTGATCCTTGCAGACTTCGACATGTACTCAGTTTTTAGTCAAAAGTATTTATCTCACAATTTATTCCATTGTTGCAGGAGGTAAGCTGACGAGCATTATTCAAGGTCCATCTGCGGTCTTGCTGCTTATTTTATGGTTACTCTTCGTATTAGTTATGCAAGCTAGTTACTGCGGAACCCTCATGTCTGTTCTAACCTTTCCTTGGTCCGAGCCCTCCATCAATACGCTGCATGATCTAGCTCAAGCTGTCGTTAAAAAGGGGTATAAATGTGGTTGCAGGAAAGGAACTATAAACTGTGATACTATGCTGGTAAGCTCCGCAGTTTATTTTATTTACTTTTGTTTTAAGTATAATAGTTTTAAATCTTACCTTATATTTTCCTCACAATTCTTTTCTATAAGCATTCCTTTCTATTTCGGAAATGATTATGCACAGATAGCATTCAAGTGATGTAAACTTATATTTCTTAATGATTTTCTAAAAATAGATAAACAATGAAGTATCTCATTTAGGCATTTGGATAGGAATTCTGATTTTTCTTCTAAGACACTAAACTATGTTAATGTGAATTACATCATAATAGAAAACAGTATAAATGCAGTTTCAAAATAAAATTGCAATAATACTTACATCCTCTATTAAATACTAGAAAAAACTAACATTTAAAAAAGTAGTTTATTTGTCACTTTATTTGATTAATGGAACTATTAGTTCTAAGCAAGGTAAAATAAAGTGATATTAATATATTTATGTTAGCATGCTATGCAAATAATTAACTATTTTAAAGGGATTTTAATATATTTATGTTAGGATGCTATGCAAATGATTACACATTTTAAATACATTTTTAAAATACATGTTTTGTCAGCATTTCTTTGCAAAATCTTTTATGAGTACATCAAGCATATAATCCGATCCTCAAAACTCGGCCTTTTCTTTTCTCTCTCAGATATTCGAGAATACGCATCTTGTACTATGGACGTCGACGTTAGATCCACCGCATTCCTTGATGGCCCTTCATAACTCAAGACAGGAGATTCCCGAAATACCTCTCGTAACAGTGGCATATCAACCCACTCGTAATACTATTTGATCTAATCCTGAGTTAGCTTTTAAGTATTCGTCATTCTATTCTTTCAGAAACACCATTGTTTCCCGGATTATCTCAATTACATAAGGTCCGCCTTTGAACTAATCACAATTTCCCTACATTTCCTTCTGGCGCACACGAAAGAGATTTCATATATTACAAGACTTAACTCATACCTTAAAATCAGTTTTCCGCCTTTTCTTACCCTAATAAAATTTTTGCTTTGCCCGGGCCACATCTGAATTCTATTTGCCTCATCCACTAATTTCTGAATGTCTCCCAACTTAAATTCTGCAGACATCTTTTCTGCAAAATAAGTTTATCGAGCGGCGTAATAAAATTTCGACCAAGATATAGTTCAGCCAGTGTCTTCCCAGTTGTTTCGTGTGTACCCATTATTAACGTAACTGCCAACATATCGGCACAGCTCCCCCAGCTTTGATAATAACTTCTTACATAGCTACAGATAATTTTAACTATATTTATAATTTTCTTCTCTAACTGCGATCCATAAAGGTCTATTTCAAAGTGTTTTATGCCAAGATCCGTATACATTTCCTCAAAAATTTGACTTACGAATTGTTTTCCGTTGACCGAGATTATTTTAGTTGGAGCTCCATACTTAAGTATAAATATATTGAAAGATGAAGCTCCACCCATTTTAGCCGAAGCTTTCTTGAGCAGAATTATTTCTACCCACTTCGAAAAATGATCAGCAATCACGAGTATATTACTATTTTTGTTTCCTTTTACTACGTGGGTAGGAACTTAATAGGTCATTTCGTATTATTCCATTAGTGAATGCAGCTTTTATGATGTTTAGGTACACTTTTGGTCTATAATTAATACCTTTAACTAACTGACAAATGTTACAGGACTTCAAATTTTTGTAGCTGCGTAAAATAAACTCTGGACTCTTTTACGTATTCCAAGGTGGCCTGATATTGACGTGTCATGTATTCCCTTGTAAAATACTAAAAATCACTTAATTCATTATTTTTAGTTGTCTTACTATATAAAAAAACCTTATAAATAATTTCGTAATCTGCAGCCCTGTTTCCAGTTCCCTTTGTAGCTTGGTGTTCAGACTAATTGGAATCCTTTAAATACGTGTAGATATTTTTTAATTACCGGTTTGCTGGCAGATCTGAAACTATTGTGCCTTGCGAATCTAAAATTTTAGAAATTAACATGGGAAATTTCACTTCTTACTCCTCGCTATTTAGTTTAATTCGCGACCGAACATCCACTACAAAATGTTTTTCCCGAGAGTGTGTTTAATTATTAAACTGTATTCTTGCAATTTCAGCCCATCTTATGAGTCTGGGTGACAAATTCTTCATGGATTATAAGCGTACAATGGCCACCTGGTCTGTATACACGATAACCAACTATTTCCCAAGTCTGGCTACTGCTACAGCGCTTGTCTCGCTAGCGGTATGATTTCTTTGAGTGGTGCTAAGTGTTTTGCTATAATATTGAACCGGCTGTCTGTATTCCATAACCTCGTCTCCTATCGCGAAATTCGATGCATCTGCTATTTTTTTAATTTACAACCCACTTCAGTAAATTGCAACATGGGAGCTTGGATTAATGCCGCTTTATGTCTTTCAGACGCCGTGTTTGCTTCTGCCGACCAAGTGAATCTAGTCCTTTTTTTCCCCTTTTTAAATTTCATAGGCGCTCTTCTATGCGAGCAAAATCTTTGACAGGTCTATAACAGTAGCACAAGTCCAAAAATTATGCCATCCTTTGCCGTGTTAAGTGGTGGACAATTCTTTATCGCTAAAATTTTGGAATTTTCTGTTTTATTTCCCCACTGAGATAACTTATACCCACGTAGTCGAAGTACTTCTGCTGTGAATTTATATTTTGCCGCCTTCACTTTTAAGCTTGCGTCTTTTAGAAGCGAAACAACAACGTTCAAATCCCAAATGTGTTCATCAACTGTATTGGTTTTGATTATAGTGTCATCTAAGTAAATAAAGGTTGGTTTTTCGAGAACAGGTTTTAGGATTATACACATAGCTCTTTGAAACTTTCCGGAGGCTCCGCATAGGACAAAGGCATTCTAAGGAAGGCGTAACCCCTGCTTTCGAGATAAATGCGAATTTTGGCATGTCCTTCTGTTTCACAACTATCTGGAAATATCCAGACCTCAGGCCTAGATTTGTCACGTATTCTGTGGATTTAATTTTTCTTATTATTTCCTGAGTTGAAAACAGTGGTGGTGAAACAGCGACCTCGATCCTTCGCTTATAATTCTGTTATTCTGTAAGCATCATTGGGTAATAAATTTGTTATTATAGCTGGTCCTCGATATTTCGGCTGTATTTTGCTAGGTTGACCTGTAGATTTAGGAGCACACCTCATCACAAACAATTTCTCCTTATTGAAATATTAGTGTAGGGCATCTCTTTCTATATATCTCTCTTTCATTTTCGTTTGTTGCTCTTCAATTCTTCCTCGCTGGTTATTCCATGCAGCTTCATCTTCTGTCTTTCTAAGGACACCATCATAAAATCTAAACGAATATCCATGTAACATTTCAAATAGTGTTTTATTCGAAGTTTTATTTACCGTGCTGTCCATATTTCTTTCTGTCTTTTTTATTTGGGAATCCATGTCTCTGTGTTGCTTATCGAACAGGCTTGTCGTTATCGTTCCTACAATTGTTCTTTTGACACGTTCTTCCGTACCTTTGGCTTAGGGGTGTTTGGTAGAATTAAAAGTATGATGAATTCCATTGTCTGTACAGTACTGCTTAAATTGAGATCATCTTGTTTACTTGATAAGAAGTAAAACAAGATGCTGTATCACTTATTATTCTTCCGGCAGGCCAAAATCATTTACAAAACCCTTTAAAGACTGTAAAACATTTTTCTTGTATTTTTAATTTATTGTATTTATTGCACTTGTATTTTTAATTGAATAAATTCTGACAAACTTTATCATATTATCAGTTATCACCAGCAGTTCTTGATTACCTCTTGAACTCTTTATGAAAGGACCCAAATGATCCATAGGAATAATAGCAAAAGGTGTTTCACCAGGCTTTACGGGATGTAACAATCTTTCTTGTTTATCACCTGCTACTTTATTCATGAGGCATTCAATGCAAGCTGATATGTTTCTTCTTCTATATCGTTTCATGCCTAGAAACCGATATAATTCCTTAATTTTGCTAACTCTTTTGTCCACAGAAAAGTCATATAATTTTCCTATCGAGCTTAAAACAGTGATCTTTATAAAAAGAATTAGGTCTAATTTGTCAACAATGATAGGTGTTCAGTAATGTTTAAAAACATGCCATGCATAATATTTCAACTTTCAAGTATTTAACTACATTATAAAATTTCCGTCTGGATACTGAGGATATCGATTACTGTACTTTTTGCCATTGCTAGAAACTCCTTTTCTGATTTGGACAATCCTCAAGAATTAGAATTTATAGAAAGAACTCAAGTTCTCATTTCCAAATCACCAATCAGAATGTTAATATTGCTAAATGACAAGATAAGCCCACTTAAAGAGGGGATTCTTGATTTCTGTATAAAACATTTGATCTTCCCCTCTAAGAGTACAAATATAATCTTAAGAATTTCCATTACCCAACATTTAGAAACATCAAAACTTTTACCTTATCTACCTTAAAGGAGCAGAAATTATTGAGTCTTGGCATTGCCAATTTTAATAACTGCATTTGAAATCATTTTTCTGTAAATACTGAACCTAATGTTATTATGGTAAGTAATGTATACGAAATATTAATATTTAATAAATACGTTATGTTTTTAGGAATTGCAGGGTGATTTGAAAGTAATTGCTGAATCTCTGAGTAGTGATCGGCGGAATTTTGTTCGATCTGTACGAGAGGGCTTGGACAGAGTCTTAGAGGGTAACTTTGCCTTTCTTGCTCAGCAGATTGGTTCCGTGTATGAAGCGCAGACAATGCCGTCGCCTTATTTTAGTATGAGTGGCGAAGGATTGGATATCGAACTGTTTTCTCTCGCAGTTAGGGATGATTTTCAGTTCTTGGAAGGTATCAATGAAGTGTAAGTGGCTAATATTTCTATAAATTATTTCTTAGTTCTCTATTATAATTCTAAGAAAGTATATATTAGTTAATTTATGTAACGTAGTGGCATAATTATTTTTAAATCTTCTTAAAATGTTAAATCTTCGACTTTTATAATAGAGCTTCTTAAATACAATAGGTTTAAGAAGCTCTATTATAAAGTCTTTAAAATATAGGTCTTTATAATAGAGCCCAATACGGGTCATGAAGAATGCTTTCATGACCCCTATTGATCATCAAGATTTTTCCGAGACCAAGATACTAAATATAAAATAAAAATATAAAATAAAAATATAAAATATTTTCCCATATATACTGCATTTCTTTCATAAGTAGTGTATACATGAAAAGAAGTAGTTTTAAGATTTTTTCACGTAACCAAAAATTAATGAAAGGAAATCCTTTTTTTTTTTTTTTTTTTTTTTTTTTTTTTTTTTTTTTTGCTGCATAACAAATTAATTATTATATTGGTGTAATATTTGATAATAATTAAATATTGGTGTAATATTTGACACTGCTGGACGTTAGCTGAAGCTTCATTGTTTTTCAACGTTGGATGCTGAACTAAGTGTTAATGGATTTAATAAGCGTTAAAACTGTAAAAGTCGTTTTACATTAAGTATGCAGCGCTGTATAGCAGCAGAACATTTAGAACCGTTTCAGAAACTGCGGGAAATTCAGTTCTAGCTCTGATCCAGAATTCAGACAAGGAATTTTCTGGAAACTCAAGTTTTAAGTTTCAGACACTCTACAGCACGTCAAATTCCTCTTGGACTTTATATACCAAGTGATTAATCTCATTAATGTCAATACGAAATAGTTTTTGACTCCAAGATAACTTTTCGAAATCAAAAATCGATATAAAGATTTGCAAAGCAGCTTTTTAAGTTATCTATACTAAATTTTGCAGTCGGAAATGTTTAATTTTTTTTTAATTTATAAAAATGTCGATAGTAGAAAATATTTCGTATTGATATATTTTTTTTACCTTATTTCACCTTGTAAAGACATTAGGTTAATTGGAAAAGTCGCAGAGATGAAAAATTAGCAAACGCCTTCGCCGGGAATCGAACCACGGACCTCTGGAATACCGGCGCAGCGTGCAGAACCACTACACCACAAAGACACGCTAAGAAGGCGGGAGAAATATCTTATATACTCCCGCTTTTAAAGGGCAACTAGGGTTTTTAGAGGACCCAATCGCCAAATCCTGGGTGAGGAGAATGATCATCCAACACCCTTTTAGTTCGGGCGCCACTGTAGAGACATTAGGTATTTTGTGGAAGCAGGCAAGATGAAAAATAAGCAGTCGCCTTTGCCAGGAATCGAACCACAGACCTCTGGAATACTGGCCTAGTGCAGAACCACTACACCATGAAGGCAAGCTAGGAAGGCGGGTGAAATACCTTATAACCTTATTCTTCAAATGTTTATGTTTTTAATAAAACCTACAGATTTATGATTTGAAGTAAAAAATATTGCTACTTCATTTCTTGAAAAGACAAGCTGAGATTCTTTAGTTTCTCAACAATATCTAACAGACGGCACAGGTTTGATAAACATAAGTCCCTTTGAAAAAGAGGAGCAAGATCAAACAGTGTACTGGTTAAAAACATAATATTTTTGTGTTTCAATAATACTTTTAAATTTCGCTTTGTTGATACCCATCGTATTTCTGTGGGTTATTATGATTTTGTATTCGGATTTGGAGAATGGCTGTTAAGGACATGGTTTTTAATAGAGTTCATAATTTTGAGAGCATCCCGAAATAGATTGTTCAATTTTGCTAATGTTTTTGCTCCAAGGGCCTTTCGACGGATCACGTGTTGTGTAAAAGTTACATGTTCTTTACCAAGTGATTTAAAACCAACGATTAAAACCAGTATCTTCTCCCGGCATCGCATTTGCATCATCTCTGTATACTTCAGAGCAATGTTCCCATGTTAAATCTTCGACTTTAAAATCGTCAACTTTATCACACATCTTTCCTTCCTTATGTTTTTCCAAAGGACAATAAAATAACAATTGATCTTCGATGTTATGTCTATAAACGTTATAAGATATTTCTCCTGCCTTCTGAGCATGCCTTCGTGGTGTAATGGCCAGTACACTCAGCGCGTATTCGAGAGGTCCGTGGTTCGAGTCCTGGCGAGGGCATTGCTCATTTTTCATGTCTCCTGCTTCCAAAAAAAAAAAAAAAAGCTAATGACTCTACAACACATCTGTCATATTCGTCCAAATGAATTATAAAATCGGGTTTTCCTTAAGTCTGGTAATACGTTGGTCTAATTGGTCTTTGCTACGTTTAGAAATTCTACTGGCAATAATGTCGTTTGAGAAAGGAATTTTCGGAATTTCAGTGCCATATTTATCATTTTAATAGCAGTAGGAAATGTGAGATCTTCTCCAATTGTTTATGGCTTTTTATGTTTAGCAGTCGAATGTAAAACTTCGTATGACGCAAGTAAATATTTTTAGCTAACAATTATAAATTTCTCAAAATATTATGTTTCCTAATTTGAAGATTTTAACAGTCATTCAAAGTGTTATTTCGATTTAGTGACGTACAAATGATGCTCGGATTCAAGACGCCTTTTACAATTCTGCTGGCTTCATACAATTCATAGCTGAAACATTTTTGCAAATTAAGCAAAGAGGTTGTCCATTGCCGCCAAATTTGTTTAAATTAAACCGCATTTCAGAAAATGTCTCATTAGATTTTCTTTTTCCGATATTAGATGCCTTTTTCTGGTTACTTGCTTAAAGAAACTTTTCCGCATTGCCATCCGCGTCATTACTTTTGTAACTAAGTTCAACCATTTATCAATGGATAAAAATATTTTTTCCTAAAATATAAATAAAATAATACCTCTCATAACAATGACTGAAATAAATACCAACTTCATTTCAGAAAAACAATGAAATACAGTAATGTATTTTTTCCCTCGATGAAACAAAAACTGATATACTGATACTTTATACTGAAAAACATTATCACTCCACTAGTGGTAGTGGCGCCGAGCTTACTCTCGGCACGCCTGCGTATCGTATTTATAACGCATTTTGATTCTCATATAATTTATATGCTGAAACTCCAATGCGACACCGGTATTATGATGCGTTTGATGGTATTTTTCTATATGTACACTGCTCAAAAAAAAAAAAAAAAAAAATGTGACAGTGCTATATCTCCCGTTCTATCCTATCTCTCCCAATTAAAACAATTTTTTCTAAATGACAAAGGAATAAAACAGTCCAGCTGTGTTTATTCTGTACCACTGAGTAACCCGATTCTTATATCGGCTGAAACTTATATCCACTTTGAAATGGTCATAAAAGGAATACTACCGGACCAAATGTTATCAAACTTGGGAATCGTGTGAAGGAGGTTATGGGAATTTATTTTACGCGGGGAAAAAAAAAAAAAAGAGTTCAAAAACTCACCACCAGGTAAATTATGATGCTGTGTGCAATATTGTTAAATGAAATAAGACATGAAAACATCGGTTTAAAATGTGTTTAATCGTTTCCGAAACGTGTTACAAGGTATGTTTAATGTAGCGTCCAACATTTTCCGAAAGCAAGTTAAATCCTGTTACTGCATTCTCAAAAGCAGCTCTTAGCATATCAGGAGGAATGTTACGGACATGTTGGTGTATCACATTTTTCATTTCTGCTAAATTGTTTAGATTATCACCATAAACAGTGCTTTTGAGATAATCCCATAGCCAAAAGTCAGAGAGATTGAGGTCTGGAGGGAAGAGGTGTAACTAATAAAGTAATCAAAGTGTAATAAAAATAGATTATAGATTTTACGCTGATGCAACTTTTTGTATGAATGCACAACATGTAATGGAAGAGAAGGCTTGTAGAGATCTGTTTTTGACATGCCTCTAAAAGTAGATGTCATATTCCTTTTGTCTCTTCAATATCAAAAAACTTTCCTTTGAGAGGCAACTTTAGTTTTTGGGAAAGAAAAAAATCACAAGAAGACAAATTTGAAGAACATGCAGGACGATTGAGTACACATACTTATTTTCCGAACACAAGCGGTTCTCCGACTGGTTATTGAATAATGAAAAGATACATTGTCATGCAATACAAAACATTCGGAATAGGTTTTCTGACTGAAAACGTAAGATTAAAAGTCATCTGCTTAATTCACAGTCATTTACAAGTCAACTACTCGGGCAATTGCAGAATCGTTTTGATCCTGAGCTTGTAAGACAAACCTAATATCACTGGATTTAAACACTTCTTGAATCTTCCGAGAACATTCCTTCTTTAGGACATATTCCAAGAATATTAAGTGAATACAATTATTGCAAAAGAAATTGAATATTCATTTGCACTACGGCTTGGTAGTTTACTAATGAGTTAACAAAACTTAAATTCTGCTTTTTGTGTCGAAGAATACAACAATAATTTAAGTATTTACAAATAAAATATTAAATTGGAGATTTAATTGGAGCCTCACCAGTTGCCTAGCATTTTAAGATTGTTAAATACTAATTGTTTGTTGTGAAGTCTAATCCAGGCTGCATGTGTTGGTTTTCGTAGTTTTCTAGGTTCTCTGTGAAAGCATCTTAACCAAAAAGCTCCCATATTCTTTCTATGTTCAAATAACCAACTCACCTAGTTTAAGCTCGATTTCCAACTGAAGTTACTAGCAAAACCCGAATACTCATTCAACATCATGTAGCTTGTCAATCGGGAATAACATGAAAGATACGGCGCCAATAATTGAATTGCTGTTACGGTACGCTGTTTCTAAACTTAGATGGTCAGTCCTTAGTTAAATGTAATTGATTTGTAACTTCTACTAGAGCTGACGGTAAGAATTGAAGTGCAAATAAATAATATCGTGTGCAATCTTGATTAATATAAAATTAGAAATATTTGCATAGAAAAATATTAGCATTCAGACAGAAAGTTTTTGAAATATTTGCAATTTCTTTATAAGAAAGATTTATTAAT